TTTCCATCCCCCAAATTCTTGTAGAGAAATTCTTAGAGGAACATTCTGCTGGAGAATAATCTGCACGAAATGTAATCAAACAACACGGGAAGGCATATAAAAGGAAAGGAAAAATAATGTATTTCCTACACAGTATGAACACGTGAAAAGCCGCCGTGTCACAAATCTTCCAGATCTGAATAAAGTGTCAGTATTTCAGAGAAAAGGCCAATTCATAGCTTAAGCAATGCAGCATTACCCAATTTGTTGACTCAAGTTAAGGAGTGTAGATTTAGTAGACACTAAACTCTTTCAGTTCAGCTGTTATATCCCCCCAAAATGGCCACTTGGATACTTTTTTCAAGAAACAATGATCTTTCTTTCTTAGGGTTGTAAATATGTAAAATTATTTTATGTAATAATCTATAAAGTTATAAAAGATAATTCAACATAAACTTTTAATATGAAAGCCTAGGGATGTCTTATTCATTTTGCAATGCAAATATTATTAATTCACATGAGCTGCAGAGATTATAACTTTCTAGATGAAACCCTATATACCACAGTTTGCACTACTTTAACATAAAGATAACCGAAGACTAATAGAACTCTTTGTTTCCATTTTATAAGAAAAAGCCCAAATGATTAGCTCTGCTCTGTTTCTGATTATCAGTCTACATAATTAATCAAGGTGCTTTTTTAAATTTAACCTTTTGTTTATTGTATAGTGTATTTAAAAAAAAAGTCCAATAAATTATCTTTCATATTTAGTGAGTGGAAGAAATGCTAGTTGGATATACTGGGTTATAAGAAAGCAAAAAAAATTATGCTTTAAAAGGATATAATTCAGATTAATAAAAGAAAACAAAATTTAAACAAATAAAAGATAAGAATCTATTCACATACAAAAGATACTGCTTATGCCTAGGAAAACTGAACAAGAATAGTCAGAAAAGATGTTATTGGATTTTGGGAAGGGAGGGTGGAGAGAAAAGAAAATTATTTGGACATTTGGGCAAAGAGATCTGGGCACATTAAAAATGAATTCCCACATAAGCCTAAGTTCCTGAGTTCAAGCCCTGGTACCAAAAACAAAATAAAAACAACAACAACAAAAAAATGAATTCCCTGATTTCAGAATCCTCTTCAGCAATATTCAGAGTCAGAAAATGGAGTAACCCAAAATCCTTAAAAAAAATAACAAGAAAAAGAAAGTGGAGACCAAGCAGTAAAGTGATATTTTGCTATCCTAGCTGAGGGCTCCTTAGTGCATAGCAGAGACAAGTTTAATGAAGTGTATGTATTATATTCCCTTGGCTGTTGTAACAATTTTCCAGAAACTTAATGGCTTAAAAATTTTAAAATGTATTCTCTCATAATTCTGGAAGCCAGAATCCACAGTGAAGGTGTCAGCCTGGTCAAGTTCCCTCCAGAGGGACTTTGGGGGGTGAATTTGTTCCTTACCTATTCCTGCTTCCGGTGGCTGCCAGCACTCCTTGACTTGTGGCTTTGTGATCCCCACCTGTGCTTCTGTAGCCACACTGCCTTCTCTTCTGTGTGCGTTCTTTCGCTGCATGTCTCTCCTAAGGACGCTTGTGATTGGATATAAGGCCTAACCAGTTAATCCATCAGAACAAATCTCCACATCCTTAACATAATCACGTCAGCAAAGTCCCTTTCCCCACCTAGATTAATTAACAAGAGGAGGGCAACCCACTCAGAACCCATCCTGTCTCTCAGGAGCTATTCCTATTTCCCAATAAATTGAGATGAACCCAGGACCTTGTGCTTTCAAGGCAGGCAGCGGTGCCACTGAGCTAAATCCCTGGCTCTAAATTTTCCTATTCTTGACCTCTGTAGTCCTTTAGAATTTCTTTTTGACCAGGACCTTGCTTTCAAGGCAAGCATCGGTGCCACTGAGCTAAATCCCTGGCCCTAAATTTTCCTACTCTTGACCTCTGTAGTCCTTTAGACTTTTGACTTCAGAGAGCACGAACTCAGCTTATCTGACATCCAGTTGAACCTGACTCCCACACCCAGAGCTCAAGGTGCTCAGCAAGGCCACGATGGAGGTGGAGAATCTGTGGAGCCCTGCCATCCAGCCATGGAAGACACACACACGTGCCTGTGTAAGACACAGTCCCTTTGGGCTTGCATAGGGCCAGATCCAGATGTGTGGGGCCTGCATCATTTTTGACTCTGTGGGAACTCATTAAGAAAAAAAGAAAAAGAAAAAATACAATTAAGAATAAACAATGGGCTAAGTGTGGAGCACACACAATTATGATCCCAGCCCTTGAGAAGCTGAGGCAAGAGGACTTCAAGAGGCCAGCCTAGGCTGCATGGTGAGACTCTGTCTCTAAATAAATGAATAGAAAAGGAATTATGTGAGATTCCTCTGAATTCAATGCAAACAAACTGGAAAATTAGTATAAAATAGACAATATTCAGAAATTCATAATCTGCCAAAATCTACCAAATTGCCAACAGAAAATTCAATTTTCAAAAATGCAAACTGTCACAGAATCTTCTTCCCTCAAAGTAATAAAATGCCTGAACTGACATATTCATGGTGCAATTCTGCCAAAACATTTTACAAGAAGTTAATTCTAATGGTATTTGGTATTTAAACTGACCCGCAGTACCAAAAAGGAAGAAACGCCCCCCATTTTTTTTAAATGAAAAAGGCATACTAATAAACCTCCAAGTCACCAAGGATTCAACAAAAAAGAAAACTACCAGCCACATATCAGAGGTTCACCTGCATGTGTTTATATATTAGCCAGCTCTCCCGTTTCTGTGACAAAGTACAGGCATCCATATCGAAAGTAGGAGAGGTTTCAGTCCACAGAGGCAGAAGAAATACCACAGCAGGAGGGTGTGGTAGAGAAAAGCTGTTTAGTTCATGGTGACCAGGGAACAGAGCACAAGAGAAGAGAACCAGAAAGCATGCGGCCGGGCACCCATGTACACCCCAAAGTCATGCCTCCATGACCCACCCAGGTACATCCTAAGTGTGCTTGATTATTCCCAAGGCAGCTCCCAAGCCAATCAAGGGGACAATTAGGCTTGACCAACCCTACACTGATCATTCACTATTAGGATTTGTGGAAATAAAGAGCCTTCTTATACTTAAACAACAATAATAAGACATACTTGAAAAACAACCCCTTATTTTCAATAGAATGCAAAAGATAAAGTGTTTGAAGGAAATGTGTAAAATCATAATAAAACTATAAAATTCTGCACAGGAATACAAAAGAAGATGTGAACAAAAGAAAAGGAATTCCATGTCTTTAGATGACTCAATATCATACAGATGTCAGTTTTCCCTAAAGTAAGCTAAAATTTTAATACAAGTGTAGGAAGAAAGGCGCCAGAAACATTTTGTCAAAATAATCAAACCAAGTCAAATGTTCATATGGAATAAATGCTAGAATGAACTTCATCTTCTTATCTACAGGGGTGTGTGATTTAAATGTTTGGTAAATGAGGATTCTCCCCATATAAACAAGAAGGAATTACATACAGTATGGAGTGTTATATTGGACATAGTGAGAAACAGCAGCCATAAATTATGAATTTGTAAATGAACACTATTGAATTCATATGATATAGGACTTAGCACAGTGTTAATGGAAGAGATATTCCTAAATAAAAGTTTTAAGTCAAAAAGAACACTGGAGACTGCCTAGTCCACATCTCAGAGGGTCTACGTAACATCCTCTGTGTCCCATGACTGGCTCATAGTGAGAAAGCCCACATTTCCTAAACATTTGTCTTTCTGAAACACAACACATGGAGATATATACAACTATCTATGCCTAGATACCTACAGAACATATATGCATAGATATTCAGAAATACGTATAGCTCTATCATCTGCACATATATGTACCAAAATGGACAGCATCTTTGAAATTAAGTAGTGGGCCAACCCAGCGTCCTATTTTATTTTTACCCACTTCTCTGTGTCTTTATTTGTTCCCTTTTCAGCCTTCTCACAATCCCACCTCATCTTAGAATTTGGAAGGGTTTCTTTGTAACATGTTAATTTTCAAGCTAATCTAAAGAAGAAAAAGTTTAAAACTGTAGTCCAGTTTTATCCATTTCTTCTAACTGAAACAAATTCTGAACTCTAAGTGTCTTTCCTACCAGTAATCACTTGAGATCAACGGAACACAAGCTTCATCCCCAGCTCCACCCAAAGAAAATGAAAGGGGAAATGATTTGAGTGTGTACGATGCAGAAGTTGACTTGCAAAGACGCGGTCAGAATGAAAAGGTCATTCTGTGGGATAATAAGATTTAAACCTGTAAGAACAAATCTTAACATTAACTCCTGAAATCTATTAATCTGATTTTGAATTGAATTTTCTACAAGGTTCTCAAAGAAAAAAACGAGTACATGAATACGATCAAATTGACAGCATGTATTTAAGAAAAAAGGGTAATGATATTAAAAGTATTTATCCAAGTAATTAAAACCAATTTCTCATACCTTGAATTACATTTGTATATTTCTTTCACAATATGTACAAGTAGAGGTTAAGAGATTTGACTCTTTCTGTATAAGCTTTTTTCAACTATGGCTCTGTCATTTAACCAGATTAGCTATATAATGAGAGAACTTAGGAAACAGCACCATGCAAATAACTGCTTAACAAAGTATCGAGCATGTACTGTAGTTAAGAATATATAAAACAGCTTTTTAATTTACAGGCCTAAGGAAGGTGAAGTTACCTACCCCATGCCTAACAGTAGGCAATGGGCAAAAAACGCGAGACTCACACTTCTCTAAAGTGACTTTAGGTGGAGACATTTAGAAAGCAGGCTAAATCAATACTTCAAGAATAACAAGGGGTGGCGAGTTTAGGTTGAGACATTGAGAAAGCAGGCTAAATTAGGACTTCTAAAATAATAAGAGCTGGAGGCCAAATGGGCCTCAGACACCCAATAAATAAATACATTGCTACACCAGAAATCCACAATAACTCCGCCTCTCTTTCCCTTTCGAAGCAGGCAAAAACTACATTTCCCAGAAGTCTTCGGGCTTCTTCCGACGAAATGCCCTGGCGCGCTGCTTTCCGGCTGTTTTTACGTTAGATCGAAAAAACGGCTTTTACGGCTGGGCCGACATCCACAACATGGGTTCTACGTGGACAGGGACCCTTGAAAATACAGATCCCGTCAAGATCCCTGTGCCTCGTGAAGTCGCCCCTCCCGCCAACCCCACGACCACAGATGCTTCGGAAGTGCAGACCACTCCGGCGCAAACTCCGTTATTTAAAAACTGCTGGAGCTGTCGCCTGATGTCCGGGTCTGGGCTCATAGCGGCGGGCGCCTATGTGTACTTAGTGTCGCGGAGGCCCTTGAAGCTGGGATTCGCCCCGGGCCCGGGGACTCTAGCCAAAATGACCTTCGGCATCAGTGAGAGCAGGCACAGCCTCGGTCTGGGCGGTGGGGTGAGGACGGAGAGGAGCAGCCACGTGGGCGGGGCTGGGGCGCGGGGCAGTCACGAGGCTGGGGCGGCTCGCAAGACGTCCGCGCTGGAGCCGAGTTGTTGAAACGCCTTAAAAAATTCCCAACTCTTTTCCTAATGAGTAGACTGAGGCAGAGACACCAGGTAGTTAGGCTGTGCCATATCTGGCTTTTTGTCCTAGGTTTGTCTTGCCCCAAACTCATTGTCTTCTGCAGAGCCTGGAGAAAGCCAGAGCTGGGGCACATGACCTCAGTTTAAGAAATTGGGCTTTGAAACAGTCTTTTAGACGTGGGTTCAAAAACTCAGTATTTGTTGTACCCCTTGGATGTGGTCCACAGTTCTGATAATAATTCACTAAGTGATTATCAAGATAGCTTCCAATAAGAAGTCGTGGTTCTTTTAGCTTTTAAAACATATTTGAATAGAGTTTTGGGTTTTTAGATTTATTAACTAGGTTGTCTAAATCAGTTACTTTTGTTAAATGGTTTTTTGGGGGGTTGGGATAACGGGATGTTCTTTCTCTTTCTGAACTTTTCTTGTGTTCCTTTTCTGAGCTTTACTCTCCTCTAAGCAAGACATAGTGATAATACATTCTCCAGAAGTGTAAGGGTTAAATGAGATGACTTATATAAAGCACTTGGAAAACTAAACATAGGACACTGTTGTTTTTTTCCTAGGCATTGCCTGTTGGGGTGTAGTTATCCTGATAGACCCCAAAGGAAAGGCCTACCGTGTTGCTTGAAGTACCACCAGTGAATTCATGTCCTGTGCCTGGCCCACTGACATACAGATCAAGCATGAGGTTTATGGATGTTCTGAACAGACAGAGATTGAACAGACTTCACTGTTGTGGATGCTACAAGAATGCAAGAGCATTAAAAACTTGGGTTGTCATTCTTTGCCTGTGAGTGTGTGGCTTTTTTCCTCAGGTTACATGGGGGCCAATAAATCCTGAGAAGAAAATGATTCTGTCTCAACCTGGGGGAAGTAAAACTTAAAATATACTATGGATGTTCTGAACAGACAGAGATTGAACAGACTTCACTGTTGTGGATGCTACAAGAATGCAAGAGCATTAAAAACTTGGGTTGTCATTCTTTGCCTGTGAGTGTGTGGCTTTTTTCCTCAGGTTACATGGGGGCCAATAAATCCTGAGAAGAAAATGATTCTGTCTCAACCTGGGGGAAGTAAAACTTAAAATATACTCTAATATAATTTAAATTATAATAAATTAATAAAAATAGAACTTATAAACTAATGGGGAATGAGCTATTAAATTTAGTTATTTTAAATACTTCTTTTTGGTTCTCCCATAACTGTGTCAATAATTATCAACCTAACCTGGGATAGGCATACAGAACTAGATCTGAATGCTGCTCATACTTGCCAAGGCATTTTCCAACCATCACCTCGTGAGAGCTGCACAACTACTCTTGATTTATTTTTTCATTAGTAAACTTTAAAACACAAGAGTACGGTAGTTTGATTCAGCAAGTCGGTGATGGTACTAGGACTTGTCTGATTATTCTAGTCTTTCAGAACTAGGATGATTCCAAGAAGGCAAGAATTAACTTTATGAAACAATTACAAGTGCCAGCATACAATAAAGACAAGTGCTAAAGTATTTGAGAAAAATTCAGTACCTAGTAAAACGAAAAGCCATCGTGCTATTTTCTCAAATAGAAATATTTCTGTGATGGAATTAAGATGCTTTTGAGATACAGACTCAGAATGCATTCATTTGTAAGGGAAATCGGTGTTTGATACCAGTGTTTTGTTTTTTTCTCAGTAACTGGCTTCACTGTAAAGGTATAGGTAGCTATTTTTTAAAAGCAGAAAGATGAGTTTGAGTTCAACTGTCAATCAAAGTATAAGTTTAGAATGACAAGTCGAGCAAGTAGTGCTTTTCAGGCTGTTAACTTTTTGGTGTCGTATGTAGAAGTGCTTAATGCTTTAGTAAATATATAATTTAAATTGGGTCACAGACCATCCAAAGAAGGTCAACATGGCCATTCATTCCCTACAGTACCTATGAAAACATACTCCCGGCTTTAGAATGCAAACCATTGTGTTAGTGGGTAGCTGTAAAATTGTCTAAGGTTAAGCCCAAAACACCAAATCTTAACATTCTTGGCTTGACCTACTGGATAGAGTAATTCTTAAACTTATATAGGCAACCCTGGTGGTATTGTGGGTTGCATCTAGACCACTGTGATAAAGTGATACACGAATTGTTTGGTTTCCTAAAGCATATAAAAGTTACATGCACACCACACTGTAGTCTCATAAGGGTAATAGCATGTCTAAAAGCATTATTAAAAATATTACTAGAAAAATGCTAGAGATCATCTTGGCCTTCAGTAAGTTGTAATCCTTTTGCTGGTGGGTATTCTTGCCTTGATGTTAGTAGCTGCCGACTGATCAAGATGGTAATTGCTGAAAAGTGAAATGGCTGTAGCAATTTTACAAAATAAGATTGCAGTGAAACTTGCCACATCATTTGTTCCTTTCACAGAAGGGTTGCTCTGTAGCATGCAGTGTATAGTCATCTTACCCAGAGTAGAGCTGCTTCAAAATTGGACTCTGTCCTCTCAAGCTCTGCCTCTGTCAACTAAGTCTATGTAATACAACGGATCCTTTGTCATTTCAACAGTGTTTCTAGCATCCTCACCAGGTTTGGATCCCATCACAAAGAAGCACTTTCTTTGCTCATCCAGGAGAAGCAACTCATCCATTACAATTTTATGATGAGATGGCAGCAATTCAGTCACGCCCTCTCCGTGCTCCATTTCTAAGTCTGGTTCTCTTGCTGTTTCTACCACACCTGCAGCTACTTGGTCCACTGCAGTCTTGAACCCCTCAAAGTCATTCATGAGGGCTGGAATTAACCTCTTCCAAACTCCTCTGAATGTTCAATTTTTGGCTTCTCACGAATGTTCTTAGTGACTTCTAGAATTATGAATCCTTTCCAGAAAGTTTTCAGTTTACTTTGCCCAGATCCATTAGAGGAGTCACTATGGCAGCAATACTTACAAAATATATTAGTAAGACTTGAAAGTCAGAATTCTTGAGGCATGGGCCGTGGAATGTATATGGTCAGGAGGCATGAAAACATCTGTCTTGTAGGTCTCCATCAGAGCTCTTGAGTTACCAAGTGCAGTGTTAATAAGCACAAATGGGAAAGATGTTTTTTTCTGAGCAGTAGGTCTCAACAGTAGACTTAAAACATTTAGTAAACCATCTTGTAAGCAGACACACTATCATCCATGTGTTCCATTTATACAGCAAGGAGTAGATTTAGTGTAATTCATAAAATTCCCAGGAGACTCAATGGTAAATGAGTGTTGGCTTCAAGTTACCAGCTACATTAGTCCTTGAGGAGAGTCAGCCTGCCCTGTGAAGCTTTGAGCCAGAATTTGACTTCTCTCTGGCTATGAAAGTCCTAGACGGCATCTTTTCCCAAGATAAGCCTATTTTGTCTGCATTGAAAATGTCTTCTTTAGTATAGCCATCTTCATCAGTGATCTTCGACCTAAATAACTCACTGTATCTTCTGCATCAGCACTGGCTGCTTCAACTTGCACTTTTATGTTACAGAAATAGCTTCTTTCCTTATACCTCCTGAATCCATCTCTGTTAGCTTTAAAATTATCTTCTGCAGCTTCCTCATAGAATTGAGAGGAGCTGGGGCTTTACTATGGGTTGGGCTCTGGCGTATGGAAATGTGGCTAGTTCAATCTGTATGAACTGTATCTCAGCCCTGAGACATTTTTTGAGACCTGATTTTACTAGATTGCTAAATTGTCCAGGATGGGCTCAAACTTTTGATTCTCTTGCTTAACTCTTCCAGAATGCTGAGATTATAGTCATGGTCCACTGTGTCCAAGCTATCCAGTCAAAACTTCTGTCAGTAGGAAGGCTGCTTTACTTATTTTTATGTTCATTGGCGTAGCATTTTCAGTTGTCTCAAGAACTTTTTGTTTACACACATAGTTTGACATTTTGGTACAAGATGACCTGGATTTCTGCCCTTCCTGTCTGTCAGCATTGGCTTCTCATAAAGCTTAGTCATTTCTAGCTTTTGATTTAAAGTGAGAGAAGTGTGACTTCCTTTCACTTCAACACTTGTGGCCTTTGTATGGTTATTGGAGTAATTTCAATGTTGTGCCTTAGGAAATGGTCAGACCCTGGGAGAGGAAGAAACTTGGGGAATAGCTGGGTTTTGGAGCCATTGAAACATTTTTTTAAATTTAGTTTACCATCTAAATGGGTGTGATTAGTGGTGTTCCCAAACAATTACACAATAATATCAAAGATCACTCACCACAGATTATCGTAAGTGGTATAATAATAATGATGATGAAAAAGTATGTGATAAGGTGAGAATTATCCAAATATGACTCAGGCACACTGAGATCCCGATGTTGGGAAAATGGCACTGATATACTTGCTCAATGTAGAGTTGCCACAGACTCAATGAATTAAAAAATGCAATCTCAGGGCTGGGGATTTAGCTCAGAGGTTTGGTGGCCTGCCTTGCAAGCGTAAGGACCCGAGTTCAATCCCCGGTATAACCCCCACCCAATGCAATCTCTGTAAAGTGCAGTAAAGTGAAATATAATAAAATGAGGTATGTCAAAATTGTAGTATGCCTTTGACGTTTTTCTTAAAATTTTATAAGTGTAAATACTTAAACAAATATGAGCTTTTTTCCAATACGTTTTCCTGCTCACCAAATGTGTTGATTGTTCCCAACTTGGATGAACACTTCCCCTGGGTCTGATCAAAGTGTTGTCCTGTCATATCCATAGGCAGTTCTGTGGAATAAACAAAAGAAAAGTCGGAACTTGTAATTAAATAGTTTTTTGGTTTTGTCTTTTGATGTGTATTCCAAAATTTGTTTTCTGTCTGTGCTAAACAGAAATCCTAGTGAGTTTTAGGGATGAATCTGATCTTCACAGAGTAGTTAGTTTAGGGCAGAAAAGATATCACTTTAAACCTACAATATAGAACGTGCAGTCATTTTCTTCCCTTTTCTTGAGGATGACATAAAGTGAGCAGAATAAACAGGCTCAAAAATCAGCAGACTATTAGTAGTATAAGAATGCCAGCTTAATTATGATTTATGAGCTTTAGAATCCATTTACAGCATGGAAATGAGCCTGTGAAATTTCATAATTACCATTAGTAGGAAGGAGAAGAGAAAAAAAGTACAAAAATTAGTAACTTAAAATGCACTTACAGTTTTCCTTGGGACCCAGAAACCAAACTGAATACATATGTAAACATTGTCATTTTTATCAATATTCGAGATACCTGTTTGCTCAACCTTTACACCGTGACTATAAACTGGGATTTGGAGATAATAACATTATGCCATCTTTCACTCCTATTGAGCATTGCATTGACCTGTCTGATATCCCGTGAGCAGCTAGCACTACGTGTAAACATTGAAAGAACCAAATACAGATGGACCCCCACCAAAGGATCTTAGTAGAGTAGCGGGGATGTGGACTGAGAGATTTCTTTTTCCCTAGGCCAATTGCTGAGACAGATGTTGCATGCTGCTCTGGAGGTCCCATAAGCCAGGCCATCTCGAAGTTCTGGAGTCTCACCTGGCTGTGGCTATTTGGGGATACTTGCTTCTGGTAGGCTCAGAAGCTGAACATCATGATTCGTGTTTCCCCTCCACCCTGAGTTTAGCATTGGCTCATTGCACCTTTTTATTACTGGTTTCTCAGCCTCACTATGTCTGAAGTAGGAATTTCCTGAATAAAACCAGTTGGTTTAACAACATAAGATGTAATTCTTTTAAATATATGTTCAGGGC